CCCCAAAACCCCAAAACCCCAAAACCCCTGCTATAATAAATATTGTTATTGATTTGGATAATTAATAAAATAATTGATTAAAAATTTAAATAGGCAAAATGTAAAATTTTCAATACAGGATAATCTTGACTTTATTTTTCACAGTGACTATTTTAATCATAGTAGGGGTACATTTCGCTTATAGAGACCCCTTATTTGAAGTGAGCTAGGATATAATCGAAGAGCTGTAGTCTCATAATAGTGATGTTGTGAGATATTTTTTAGAGGGCGTCTCACTTTTGCTAGGAGGTGAAGCACTAATGTTTGGCACTTGTGCCTTGATGTTTGCTTTTGCTAAGAGATAAAGAGCATTTTACTACATTCTACTTATTTCGATAGTAACTATTGTGTTATCGATAGGTAAATTAGCTTATCATCATCCTAGACCCTACATGGTTGATGAAAAGATCAAGGTATATGGCTGTGCTACTGAGTTTGGTGACCCTAGTGGCCATACGACCTCATCTAGTGCTGTACTAGTTGCTCTTAACATGGATTTTCTTTCTAAGTATAACAGAATTAAACTAATATGGAAGATTCTCTCCATTATTTTATGCATTTTATTGATATTTATGGTGGGATTCTCAAGATTATATAATGGTGATCATACAATAGATTAAATTATATACGGTTGGTGTTTAGGTATTTGGGTAGCTGTGGTCCTATTTTTAGCTTTTAAGGATAAATTATACCAGCATATTAGTGAAATAATGAACAAGCCAAGACTTTTCAACATGCGATAGAGAATAAGATATGCTGGTATTGCTTTTGGCATTTTTATCATCCTTATTATCGGATTGATTGTTTCTTATGAGGTTGTAAAGAGAAATTTTGATATACCATAGGAATGGAAAGATAATTTAGCAAAGGAATGTGGAGCGGATATTGGATTATATAGTTTTGATAGTGCAAGCTTGATTTAAGGACTATCTATAGTAGTGGCATTAAGTAGCTACTATGGAATTCTCTATGGCAGTATGAGATCATCCACTAGGGATGAGTTTTATTTATATGGAGATTTATGGTGGCAAGGAGTTCTTAGACTCTTAGTATTTTTGGTATTCTCAGCTATTTTCGTGATTCCAGTTGCTCTCAAGGTAGATGTCAATAATAATGCATACTTGACTGCTCTTGTGACTACATTCGTCCCCTTCATAATAATTGGTTTTGTGGTATTCTCCTCTTTATTTGACAAGGTATACTACAAACTCAAACTCTCATATCTTAAGCCTAGTTTGTACTTTAAAGGAGATAGATATGACATGGTAATAAACCAAAATGAAACTATATCTGTTGGAACTTCTTCTGACGCTAAAACCAAGAATTATCTATGAGATCTACTTAAGTATTTAAACTCTATTAAATCAAATATTTATGACAATCTATTGATTAATTACTTAATTATCCAAAATGAATGCTAAATATTTCTAATCGTGGGGTTTTGGGGTTTTGGGG